GGGGCACAAGTGGGCTGGGAAGAAGCACATTTCCATCCTGGTGAACAAGAGCTGGAAATGCAGGTGCCTGTAGTGCTCAGCTGAGTACAACTGCCACATCCTTCTGACTTTCAAGGAGCTAATGCGTAGTGTCCTGGCCAGGGCCTCCAGGTGCAACCACTTCACCATGTGCCTGCAGGAGGTGTTGCCCATGACCCAATGCCACACTTAGACACAATGCTGTCCACCTTCAGGGATTGAGCACATGATGCAGTTTTAGATCAAATGGTAATTGGGCTGGTCATGACCTAAGAGTTAACTGTGGTGTTTGTTATTTCAACCCCTGGCCAGTGAGGTTGATGTGGGGGTGAGTGGGACTGAGGGGGTGTGAGAGGATGGCTTCCTGGATGAGGCAGGTAATGGAGGGGATGGGTTCTTCCCGGGCGTGTGTCTGTAGTCTGCACCCCTGCACACCCAGGCACATACAGGACATGGCACAGATGTAGGCCAGGTCCATGGGCGGAGGGAGCTACCTCAACCCAGGCAAAGTCTGGCAATTCCTAGCAGCCAGGGCAAGCGCTGTTCCCTGCTATGGATGAACTGAACATTGCCACTGGTGCGACTGATGCATACGAGTCGATGCTCCCCATTAAACCCATGTCGCAGTCACAATCGGATTGATGGGCAAAATCCCCTCAGGCCTTTTCAGTGATCTTGGGTTTTGTGACCTGAGCCAAATGCAGTCCTTGTTGGTTGATACCTTTCAATTGGGGATGAAATCAATTCTTTTAAATGTTTGTTTTCACTTTGGCAGCGACAATCGCAGTACTTTTCATTCCTCTCTCCATTGTCTCCCACTTTTGGGTCCCTCTCATGGAAAAGAGAGGAGCGGGGCCAGGGGAACAGAGAGTGTCCTCTCTGGGCTATGTGGGTGGCAGACACACGTCCTGCACCTGGCTCAGTCTGGCTCTGTTGCCTTGTATGCAACTGTGCTTTAACAGGCTTCAGGGTGGGCTTTGGCTGGGGCCTTCTCCTGCACCAGGATCACTTCCTTGGCAGCTAATGCCCATGAAAGGCTCTCTCGCCTCAGCCTGGCTGGTGCAGAAGACTTTCTCTGCTGGACAATGATGTGGCTGGCCAGCCAGTCAAGCCTCTGCTGCAGTCCTGGCTGTGGGCGGCAAGAACTTGCACTCCAGGAAACACTCGGCAATGGTGAAGGACAGACTGCTTGAACCAGGCTCAGTCCAGGTATCCCTAGCACTGCACTCACCGCCAGTGCCAGGAACACACTTCCCTACATCCCATGGATGGGGAGTGCTCCTATCATTCCCACAGGGAGCCCAGTCCTGATTGCCATGGGGTGGAGAGCAGGGTCTCTGGTGCACTGCCAGGCCAGGGCTGTTAGGCCACTGCTAATGGCCAGACCCAGGAGATGGCATAGATCCTCAGGGGCCTGCAGTGACTGGTGACTGACTTTTACATTGTGTGAGATTTTAAACTGGATTTTCTACTAAAGGCTATTTAGTCACTGTTTTTGGATACCATACCAGGCTCCCAAAGCTGCACCTCCAGGTGAATGAAAGCCAATAAAGAGCAGTAAGAACATGTCATCTGCTCCTTCGGGTGGGGCATGGGAGGGGGGTTGCACTTCCTTCCTGAGCTGTGATGTGCTGCAGGTGAGGGAGGTGAACCGTGCTCCTCCTAAGCCAAAGGCAGCTCTTTTGACCCATGCCCTGCATTCTTCCCAACACCGGCTGCCAGGACAACCTGGGAAGGGGGCTGACTGTCAGCACTGAGCACCCCATGCCCATGGCAGAAGGCTGTCATTAGCTGCCAACCCCTCACTCCTCACCAGATCTGGAGCCCAGGGGGAGAGGGCCATTGCTGTTCACTCCCACTTCTCCCCCTCCTCCTCCCTCCTCACTGAATTCAGCTGTGGAGAAAAGAGGGGAGAGCAGCCCCTGGGCTCCATGAAGGCAGGGGCTCTGGCCAGAGAGTTCAGAGCTCACCGTACATGTGGAGCCCCAGTACAAGCTGCCCTGCCAGGCTGGGGAGCTCAACTAAAGGGAGGGGCGACAGCACTGGCAAACCCACCTGGATTCACCCCCACCCCTTGGGGACTCCTTGCAGGGGCATGTGCTCCTGTGGCTTTGGGGAAGATCATGTGGCTCTTCCCAGACTCACGAGCAAATGTTGGGCTCAGCTTCAGGGGAGCAGTAAAGTTGCTTGGCTGACTGCAGCATCCCCAACTGCCCTGCCATAATACAGCCACTTCTTGGGTGCGACTTCACAGTGCACTTCCACATGCCAGAAGCGTTAGGATAAGAACGCGCTTTTCAAAGCCTGGTAAAGAGAAGCCAAATGCAAGTCCCAGGGAAATTTGGCTTGTCCCAGTTCCTGCATAGGTCTGCTCTTGATCCGCTGGGTGCCCTTGGAAGCAGGCCCATTCCAGGAAAAACTATTTGGAGACTTTCACTCAGTCCAGCTCCCCAAGTGGGACAGGGATTATTTTTTTACTGTAGTTCTCAGCTGTGGCCAGTAGAGAGCATGGTTCCTTGTGCCAGGATCAGCATGCGGCTCCATTTCTGCTTCCCACAGGTAAGGAAGCAGCTGCCTGTCACTGAAAATACTGGGCTTGCAAAAAACAGTCTTGAAGAAACTCAGAGAAGTGGTGAGAGGGATCTTCTGGGAGATAAGTCTAATGGGAAAAGGAGTCCAGGACAGTGGGCTGCACCTCAAAGAGACATTATTAAAGGCAGAGGAGAAAGCTATCCAAATTCAAAGGAAGGATAGGAAACACAGATTAGATGGGCTAAATAGTGAACTCTTCAGTGACTTGAAACTGGGAAAGGAACCTCACAAAAAGTGGTAACTTGGCCATATTACTAGGGATGAGGATAAGATCACAGCATGGGCATGGAGGAAGGAAATCAAGAAGGCTAAGACACAACTTGAGATAGAACTGGCAAGGGACAGTAAAAGTAACAATAAACATTTAGCAGTATGTGAGAAATAAAAGGAAGACCAAGGAAAGCATAGGTCCCTGACTGAATGGAAAGGAGAGCTGATAATTGGTGGTATAGAGAAGGCTGAAGTGTTTGATGCCCTTTTTTCCTTCACAGAAAGGTCAACTATCAGATGAAAAGCACAGTTAGCAGCAAGGACAGTGGGGGAAACACTCAGCCTAGGGTAAAGCAGGAGCAGGTTATGGATTGCTTTGACAAGTGGGATGTTCTCAAAGTGTTGGGAACATCTTAGAGTCCTGAAGCTAAGAATGAGATATTCTATTTCTATGCACCTAGAAGATAAAAAGGTTAAATAAGAACAGCCAACATAGGTTTGTTAGGAGCAAGCCACACTGAATCAGCCTGATTTCTTTCTATGACAAAGCTTTATAGATGGGGAAGAGCAGTAGATGTGATGCGCCTCAATTTCCATGAGGCTTTTGACATGTCTCCTATGACATTTTCATAAGTAAGCCAAGATGAGGATTCAAAATGACTGATGAACTGGGAAAATGATCTGGATAAATCAGATGAAATTCAGTAAGGACACACGCAAAGACAAGTTGCACGCAGGGCAGAACAGTCAAATGCACAACTAGAAATTGGGAAAGAAGTGCAAGCTTGCAGAAAAGGACCTGGGGATTACAGTGGATTGCAAGTTCAGTCTGAGTGTACTACTGCAGCACAAAAAGCAAATGGGTGTATTAACAAGAGCATCACATGTAAATCACAGGAAGTGATTGTTACACTCTGTCAGCACCAGTGAGGTCTCACCTGGAGTCCTGGCTCTGTTCAAGGTGTCACACTTCAAGAGAGACATGGACAAATGGGAATGAATCCAGGGGAGGGCAAGGGCTTAGTGATCTCGAAAGTGTGACACAGGAGGAAAGGTTGGAAGAGCTGAAATGATTTAGTCTGGAGAAGAGAAGATAGGCTGCTGACAGCCTTCAAATACAAAATGGACTGTTACTACGAGGATGCGGATTGACTGTTTTCTGCATCCACAAAAGACAGGACAAGAAGTAATGGGCTCAAACTGGAACAAGGACAATTTAGGTTGGATCCTAGGAAGATCTTTTCCACGCTGCGGGTGGGTAAGCGCTGGTTAAGTTAACTGTCATGGAATTTCCATCTTTGGAAATTTTTAAGTGCAGGTTAGATGAGCACTTGGCTGGGCTGGGTTAGACAGGGCTGATCCTGCCTTGAGGGGATTGGATTAGGTGTGACCTCCTGAGGTCCCGTCCACCCCAGTTGTTTTATGCCAGGTGGTCTGGTGGTGGTCTGCCGAGAGTCAGACCCTCCCAGTACAGCTGAGAGGAGAGAGCAGACTCTTCAGCTGACTCAAGTCACTCTGACTGGCTCGGTTAGCAGGGCACAGGGACATTCCCCCTCAACAAAGAGACTGACACCAGGGTGGTTTGATGGTGGGAGCCCTAATAAGTTTGCAGAAGGAGTCACAGGGCAAAAGCTTGTTTCATAGTTTCATAGGTGGTAGGGTCGGAAGGGACCTGAGCAGATCATCAAGTCCGACCCCCTGCCGTGGCAGGAAAAAGTACTGGGGTCAAACGACCCCGCCAAGGTGTACATCCAGCCTCCTCATAAAGACCCCCAGGGTAGGGGCCAGCACCACTTCCCTTGGAAGTTGGTTCCAGACCCTAGCCGCCCT